CACCCCCGAGCGGATGCGGAGGATCCCGGTGCTCGCATTCATGCCCGTAACAAGCAAGGGCAGACTGCTTTGCATTACTCTGCACGGCAGGGAAAAGCAGAGGCCGTCCGCCTCTTGCTCGAGCGCGGAGCCCTCGTCGATGTTACCGACAAAAATGGCAACACACCGTTCCATCTGAGCGCACTCAAGGGGAACTTGGACATTATGGAGATGCTGCTGGAGCACCCCGAAGCGGATGCGGAGGATCTCGGTGCTCGCATTCATGCCCGTAACAAGTGGGGGCATACTGTGTTGCATCACGCTGCACGGTGCGAAGAGGTAGAGGCTTGTCGCCTGTTGCTCGAGCGCGGAGCTCTCGTCGACGACGTCGACAAAGCCGGAAATACTCCCTCACATTCTGCGGTTTGGAAATGGATGCAAGCCCCAGATGCCATCTGCTTTCTTCTCGAGTATCGTGCGAAGCAGAACCTAGGAGGTCTACCGCGGGCTCATAAACTCAGGAATCAACTGCGCCGCCGTGCCGAGGGTTACAACGGCGAACTGTGGCGGCCCATTCTCATAGACTTCGCGTCTCAGTTCGAGGCAGTCGAGGTCAACCTTGCCGAGACGTGGTTCGTAGACGTCTAGGGCGCACGCCGCGCGGGAAGCCATGGACGTCGATAGGAGTGGGAAGTAGAGAGCCGGTGGAAGTTTGAAACCAGTCTCGTGTTATGAAAGCCCGGACTTTGCGGTCCGTTTGTATAGTCTGTTCGTAGGTCAACTGTATGTATGAGGTGGACTGTATCGTTACATTGTGTGAATGCACGAAGCGTCGGTCCATGATCGAGGTAAGTGTGAGGTACGTTCAGCGGAGGACAGGAAGCTCGCCGAAGTGCGGGGAAGGAGGATGGACGGTAGGAGAGTGCACGGCATAGTCATGAGGGTCGAGGGTCCGTGCTGCAGTATGTGCGGCCCTCCGTACTTCATACAGCAGGCGAAGGTGTTTGGAGAGTGATTTGAGAGGGTGTATGGGAAGTTGTGGACGAACACGACAAGGTGTTTGTACAAGCATCGCATCAGTCACCTTCGTAAACGACTTTGCGAGATGAGATATCCGCCTAAAGAGGGGTCAGTGCGGTAGGCAAGAGCGAGAGTAAGAAGCTCACATGGGGGTCCTTGACCGCAGCTTCAGAGTGTCGGATGGGATGATCTCGGCGGATATAGGCTATACCTAACGATATGCGGGGATGAACATCAGGTGGAAAGTACGAAGAGACGGTACGCACGGTCGTGGCGCATCAGGCGGGCGAGACTGTTGAACACAGGCATCACATCTCTGTAGACGAAGAGTCAGATCCCAAGACGAGGCTTTAAAGAGAAATTTCGCGTACGAGTACGATGACGCGAGCATCGCTGATAAGCGGTGACGTTTCGTCATGGCCTATGAGAGCTGAGGCAGATTGGTGTATGGAGGAATGGCATCGAGAGCAACATGGCGGTAGCGGATCAAGATGCGCTGGCCGAGCGCCGAGCAGACTGAGAAAGACGCGCGAGGCGACTTGCGGACAACGCTCACCTCGCGCACTCGACCGCCTGTCTCTCACGGCTTCTGCATCATCTCGCTTACAGGTCTGCATGGACAGACGGGGGGCGCCTATCAGGCGCGTAGACGACGTCGGGATGGACGGTCAGTGAAGGCGCCTGGCGGACGCAGTACAGCTCGACCCTGGTGAGCTTTCATCTCTCGGTACCTTTGCCGTGGACGCACGCTGATGAGTGCGTTCTGCGTGACTTTGATAGCGTACGAAATATAGGTCGCGCTTGCTCGCGGTGTGGGAGAGCGTGTTGGACCAAAGAGCAAAGGGAAGCGCCCAGTACGTCTCTATGCTTGCTTTGCCTTGATTGTACACTGACGTTGGTGTGTGATGTTTACAAAGCTGGCGTCTTGTGCGGTCCAGGCGTTTTTGAGGATACGGGATGAAACGCGTGTCTATCCTTCGTCGAGAACGCGCCCGCCACGCTTGACGTTGCGCCACTCGTACTGGGCAGCACCTTCCACTTGCGCGCGTTCTCCCACTTCGACGATGCGCCCATGAACCACCTACACGCAACTCGACTCGGCCAGCGGTCTCACTGCGCCTCTCGCTCCTGCAGTCGCAGCGTACGTCTCGCACGCGTCAAGACATCCCGAAACGGTGTTACTTGCACTCAGGGCACTGAGCGTGTTCAGTGCGCACACCGTCTTTATTCGTCGGACCCGAAGTATGGCATACGGCTGCGTCTAAGCTGGTTCCAAGACTTGTGGCGCTGCACGGCAGGGCATTGAATATCTTGAATAAACATGTGTCTATTCAAGGGTTCGTGCAAACGCTCAAAGAGGCCGGTGCGCGGTGGTGGGCGTATCGATGCTCGATACTGGTACGGTTACTTTTCGTATCGCTTCCTGAGTACGTATACTGAAAGGTTTGATATAGACGATCTGAACACGTTGTACCTTACGTGTCCGGGGCTCAGTCGGGATCACTCATGCGCGCCGCGAGGACGAGGACGAGCGCGGAGAGGTTGTCCGATGCCTGTATTGCTTACGCTCGCCGGGAGCGATTTGAGTCAATGTGCAGCCTGAGGCTGACCATGCGTTTGATAGTGAGTCTTCTACTTCTTCCGTAGTTTATACAGGATACTAATTGAGAATTGTATAGACCGCGACGCGTTCCTACCTTCGATCATACTCGCTACTACCAACTCCTCCTCCCGACTTCCCGACTCCGCACCAAACTGCACTCGACCCTCACGCCCCATCAAATCTGCACAGCACAAACGATCCGTTTTCTAACCCCCCACGCCGACAGGCTCTCCGTCCTTCTCAGACTACCGCCATATCCGCTCGCGTCGTTGGTCGAGTTGTGCCGGGTGTTAGGGTCGCGGAAGTTATTGGCTTGAAGGGGGATACGAGCAGTAGCGAAGTGTAAGGAAGGAAGAGTTCTTGAAGCCCTTCAACTCTGCGTCTATCGCGCCCGTGCCTTTGGTTGCCTCCATGATGTATACGATACGTTCTTGTCTTACTCAGTTGCTCAAGCCGTCCTTGCAACATTTAGGTCGCGTACTACTAGATACTGGTAGTAGGACCGCACATATCGTGGTGTATCAGCGTGTGAGCATGAGTACTGGGAAGGGGGGTAGTATTCATGAATAGAACTGGGATGGTATCGGGGTTATCGGAGACAAAGATGGTTGTTGCGAAAGACGCGCGCTGAACGCAACCTGGACAGAACGCTCACGTTACGCACCCCGCCACCTCCTTCTTATGACTGCCATACCATCTATGCTACACAGCCACATGGGCAGATTTCGGACGATTATCGAGTGCGACGAAGCCGGGAAGGATGACGGGTGAAGGCGGATGCGAGGTTTGGTGGACGTCTTGAAGTCCGAACATGGTGCGTTTCCCTCTCCCACTGCCTGCATAATGCATGTGTGTACTGATGGTAACGATTCTAGATTCATCTGAACGCGCCATACGTGCTCGAGGCGCTGATGGGGCTGCCCATGCGTGCAGCGAGTATGAGGACAGACACGGAGAGGTTGCTCGACACGGGGTTCCCTACACTCGCTGGGTATACCTTTATTCGCGGCCGCCCGAGGCTGGTCATACGGTTATCGGTACGTATTTTATAGCCTATGATACACTACATGATACTGATGGTATGGCATATAGACCGCGACGCACGCTTACTCTCAGCCGGTGCCATCGTCAACTCCTCCTGTCGCCTCTTTAACTCCTCATCCAACTCTGTCAACCCACCAAATGCAATGGGACAGCACGAGTGCAGGTTTTAGATAGTCAGATGCGATTACTAGGTCGCTTGCCGCTGTGATGCTTGCGGATGTGGTAGAAGAAGGTGCTGGACCCATCAGCAATGGCCGGGCATGCGGTGTCGGCTCCCGGTGCGTCTCTGTACTTCCGTTCCCATCATGATTGGTTGTATACTGATGCTTGGTGTAGGGTATGCGCTGGCGACGTCACGCATGCGGCTCGGCACCCGGAGACGGCGTTACTTGCGTCGAGGATCCCGAGCGTGCACGGCGCCAGCACCGTCTATAACGGACGCGATCTAGCGATGCTGGTGGAGAGCAGCGTGGAGAGTGGGCGGGCTGTAGGAGGGTTCAGAACATTCTTGGATGTGGAAGCGAGGGTAAAGCCTGAAGAGGCGATGTAGGTTGCCGAACGATACGCCGGTGCTGGTGCGCCTGATGCGGAAGATGGAGATGCGGAGGTCGTGAGGGAGAGCGTCTCACAAGGTGCATGGCTCAACGATGTGGAGATGCTGGTCGAGCATACGAAACGAACACAGTCTACCACGCCCTATCGCAGCTCGTGCAGCTCGGCAGCACGACGATAGAGACGGCCTTCAAGACCTGAGGGCGCTGTGAGTGTACGCCATACTCAATCTGCTTTCAGTCGGAGTAGGGAAGAGAAGGGGGAGGGAGATGTTACTCGTGAGCCAACCGGAGATCGCGGAGAAGATGTACGGCGTCGTGCTCAACCTCTGCACGCACGCATGCACGAGCGACTCCGTGACGCGGTACCTAAGGACACACGAAGACTTCTTTGCGCGCCAGCTCGCTGCGCTGCCCCCGCGCGTGCCAGAAGCGGACGACCCGCGATGGCGTCAGAGTTCGCACGATCGTGTCGAGCCTGTCGAGCTTCCTCAGGGCCCGCGCGGCGGTGTGCGAGCTCGGCGCGTTAGATCTGTGTGGTCTGGCGAGGCGGGGACATCATAAAGCGCTGAACGGCCTCCTCGGCGTGTTCTTCGGGAACGCGGAGGACGACGCCGACGCCGACGCAGGGCCGCGAGATTGGGAAGACGAGGTCTATGGGACGAGCAGTGCGGGAAGGGTCGGCGGGCAGAGGAGTGTAAGGGCCGTCGAGATGTTGCAGAGCTTATCATTCGACTGTCCTGCTCCTTCTGCATCGACATCGACCGAGACGGCATTATCATTGTCCACCCTCGGCCGCTCGACATTTCAATCCCTCGTCCTGTCGTCGTCTACCCGCGGACCCTACGACACAACATCCGCGCTCTCATCCATCCGGCGAAGTATGGCGCACGGTCGCGTTCACGCTGCTGTCACGACTCGTGGCGCTGGACCGCTGGACGAGAGGGTGCTGAACGTTCTGAACAAGCATGGGGTTGTGCAAGGGTTTGTGTATGCGCTTAAGGAGGCCGATGCAAGGCTGGTGGGCGTGTTGAAGCCCGATCCTGGTACGTTCTTCTTCTCAAGATCTATATATTGGGATATGTACTGATGGGGATGGTATAGATGATCTGAACGCGCTGTACGTGTTCGAGGCGCAGATGGGACTGCTCATGCGCGCTGCGAGCACCAGGATCGGCGCGGAGAGGTTGCTCGATGCCGGGTTGTTGCCTACACTTGCTGGGTGCGACTTTATTGATGCGCAGCCTGAGGCTGATCATGCGTTCATTGGTAAGTCCTCTCCCTCTTTTGCTATATGTGAAATGTACTGATTGTATGCTACATAGATCGCGACGCGTTCCTGCCCTCGGCTATCCAGCGCTACCACCAGCTCCTCCTACCAACCCTCCAACTCCTCACCCAACTACACTCAACCCTATCACCCCATCAAACCTGCACAGCACAAACAATCCGCTTCCTAACCTCCCACGCCGACACGCTCTCCATCCTCCTCAAATCACCCCCATCCTCGCTCGCGGCGCTGAGAGCAAAAGCTCGTCGAGCTGTGCAGGGGGGTGCTGCACGGTGTCGAGGGACGGGAAAGGATGGCGGAGCATACGGGCTTCGGAGGGCTGAACGCCGCTGTCGGGGCGCTCGCTGCGCGGGCGCTTGCGGGCGGTGTGGGAGAAAGTGTTGGGCCGACGAGCGATGCGGAGGGCGCGGACGATGCGGTGTTAGCTCCCGGTCAGTCCCTTTCGTCGTTCGTCTTTTGGATACGGGACTGATACTTCGGTTAGGGTACGCGCAGACGAGCAAGTTCGCGCTCGCGGTGCGCGACGCTGAGCATGCGCTCGAGCGCGCGTTGTTGTTGTATCTCGCGGCGGCGTCTGATCCGGGCGAAGATGCGCCGGGCGGGATCACGCTCGTCGTAGCGCCCGTCGTCGGGCCCGCACGGTCGACCGATTCGCGCGTTGTCGGTATGTGCTTGTCCTCTTCATCTGATCGCTTGGATATGTGACTGAAAGAGCTATTATAGCGACGGTACCGACCATGGGCGACCTCTTCGGCGCCCTCGGGGCACTCTCATCCGAGCTGCACGATACACTGCGCATCACACACAATCTCACCGCCGAGCTATCTGCGTGCTCACAACTGCGGATCGAAGATTACCTACCCATCCTCCCTCCCCCAATGGCTTCTCTCGCGGCGAGTCAAAGTCCGAGTCAGACCAGGAGTATGATCGCAGAGGAGTTGGGGAGGATCAGGAAGCGCGTGAGGAGAAGAGCGGAGGGACTGGTGGAGGCTGTCGAGGTCGCGCTTTTGGTGGCGTGGACTCATGCGAGCGTATACGCCGCGGACGACATCGATTCATCATCTATCATCGCCCTACAACGACCGAAAGAGCGCGCGGGCGTTCAACCGGGTTCAGCAGCGCTGGCACGGGCCATGGCCGGTGCGCCCAAAGGCGAGGCGTTTGTGAGGGAGTGTGCGCGCAGGGCTGCGAGTGCTCTGAGCAGGGTTGACGGGCTGGAGCTTGGTGGAGAGGAGGGGTGGGAGGAGCGAGAGGCGTTTGTTGGGCTGATGTGTGTTAGGGTCGCAGAGGTTCTTGGATTGAGTAGGGATACGAGCGGTGGAGAGAAGTAGTTGGACAGGGAGATATGGGAATGCAGTATCGCCAAATGTTCTTTGTCCCTGTTTTGCTTTTGCTGTATACGATATGTTCTAGTCTTACCCAAATTACTGTGCTGTCCGAACCCGTGTGAGAACCGTTGCTATTTGCTCTACCTCGCTCACAAGTTGATCGTCGATCCCTTACGCTTGCGCTTTTCACGGGTCATCGATGCTTAGTACAAGGGAATCTAACGCTGAAGCGAAAATCTGCTAGTATTATACGAGGGGATAGCAGTTGTGGCGTACTTCGTCTAAATGATAACCAAATGTGCGGCTGATGTAAGCCTATGAAAGCCCGGATGTGTGACTGGCCGTTGATGCGACGCGCGCCTGCGCGCGCTCGCTGCGGAACGCGGCTTGAGAGACACGCCCATGTCGCGGCGACGTAGACGCGCAAGCTGTCTGCTGAGCCCTGACGACCTTTTGACTTTATTCTGGCACGGCAAAGTCGTTATTGGAGACTCCATCGATAGTGCATGTGAGAATGCATCCCGTCGTTCAGATCGGGCGGGTTTACGGGCGCCATCCTGCATATTACATGGCTCTCCGTCGAGCTTGCCGCTGTGCACACCGTCGGGACCATGCTTCGACCGACAACCGTGCGGTCACTCCATTCTCATCAGGCTTCAGTGTATCTGCAGTTGCATATATGTGCATCCAGTGCTCTTTGGAGGCCTGATGGGTCGTCAAGGTTTTGATGTAGCTTCCAATAAAGGCTCTGCCTCGCCTATCGTGGATGCAGAGCGCATGAACGCCTGTGTTCCTGTGCTCCTGGGCTCCTTGTCTCGCACGAGCAACGTGTCAACAGGGAGGATCAACCTAACAGTTCCAGGTCTCTCTCTCCTACCTCCAACATCCCCTCAAAAACATGGATAACAAGAAGACCCCGTACCCGCGCAATCTTGCAGAGCTATGGGACGCAGCTCTGCAACGTCACGCTTACGAGACGGGTACAAGGTTGCTGGAGACTGCAATTGCGAAGGACTACCCGGTCCACCCTACCAGCGACGACGAGGTCCTCGCGATCTTTGCCGCTCAGAGCAAATCGTTCGAGACGTTCAGAAGCCGCGGGGGGAAGCTCCTAGCGGTCTTAAAGCCCATCGTACACTTCACTTGTCTCTTCATAGACTCCGGGGCCGAAGCGGCAGCCGCGGTACGAGGCTTCAAATCGCGAGATCAAGGATGCGGATTATCTCTGACCTTTCAATAGATGAACGCGTCAGGTGGAAAGACCATTTTTGTAGCCGTCGCTGTACTTCTACAGGTGATTCTATATCAGCCTCGTATGTTTAGTTCATTACGCTCACCCTCGTCAGGCCACGAAGGGAGTGAGCGCGCTTTATGACGCTATCGAGCATCTCTTTCAAGAGATCGCACCCTTGCTCAATCGCATCGCGACCCATCTCAGACCGTCGACGCCGCCACCCTCTGCTCTGATGAACATCCTCGTCAAGACTTGCATTCAAGTACTCGAAATACTCGCATTGACCACTAAGTACTGCAACTCGGACACCGGCCGCGTTTGGGGCTCCATCTCGCGGCGTACTAGTGAGTGTCATGCTGCCACGACGTGCCATGCGTTTTTGCTAACTGCAACACACAGAGGATTACCTTTACGGGTTCACCGGAGATAGCAAGGTTAAGGAAGCACTAGAGAAGCTGGACCATCTGACGAAGAATGAGCTACTGGAGGCCGTGGCGGAGATCAGCGCCACCGTACGCGATTGTGAGTTGTGTCCTTGCGCTTGTCTGGCGGCTTGCTCATCGTTCCCAAAGTTCAACCGCAGATACAGTTCATCGCAGATCGCGCAGGTAGAGATCTCTTCACGCATGCCTCTCATTGCCTCGCCATCTCACTGCCCCTTTCAGTCGTCCGGAACCTGCGCGAGTGGCTCAAACCGCCCGATGAACAACCTCTAAACTGGGAGAAGAAGCGGCGTACCAATAGCTGCCAGTGGTTCTTCGACGAAACATTTGACAGCTGGAAAGTCCAGAAGAACGGAGTCTATTGGATATACGGCAAGGGTGCGTCAGCTCTCACCATCCGCCGATACGAGGACTGAACCTGCTGGTAGCTGGCGCTGGGAAGAGCGTCCTGTGGTGAGCTACCCGCGAACTTTCTCTTCCCGTCATCTTCATCACCGGCTCTAGTTCATCAATTATCGATAAGCTCCAAGAGGAGCCCACGGTCGCATTGGCGTACTTTTATTTCGACTTCAGTGACCCAAAGAAGCAGGACTGTCGCTCCTTGGCTGCCTCTCTCGTCTTTCAGCTGGGAACCTGTTCCGAAGCGTGTCAGAAGTATCTGCAAGGAAAGACGAAGTCCACATCTCCGAACTACGATGAGCTTCTTCCTGTGCTATCGGACTTGGTGAAACTTGCAGGGCCTGTTTTCATCGTCATCGATGCTCTTGATGAGTGCCCCGAACCCGCGCGGGACAAGGGCTCAGCTCGCTTTCTGGAGCATGTTTGCAAGCTTGATAGTAACGAGAAGGACTTCCACTTGCTAGTGACCAGTCGCCCCGAAGCCGATATCTGGACTCTGTTCTCATCTGTCACTCATACCTTGAACTACCATGATGCCCAGAAACATCACGAAGATGTCAGCTCGTACATTTGCTCTCAGCTGGACCGAAAGGAGTATCGTTGGTCGTCTGATGTCAAGGAGACTATACGTCAAGCCCTCGAGGACGGATCCGACGGAATGTATGTTCTCTTCTTCGTGCAGGATTGGTATCACACTGACCCGCACACTAGGTTTCTGTGGGTTGACCTCCAGCTATCACGTTTGCGGGGTTGTGTATCCTCTGCGGATGTCGAGCGCGCCTTGCAAGAGCTCCCTGCCGATCTTACTGCGACATATGAACACATTTTGGAAAAGATAGACCCGTCATCTCCTCAGATG